TGTGCATTCAATGCTATAAATTTCCCTCTAAGCCCTGCTTTTGCTGCATCCCACAAATTTTGGTAAGTTGTATTTTCACTTTGTTCAAAATATTTTGAATTTCTCTCGAGACTTCTTCTTTGACTCATGTGTTACTCAGAAGTGCATTGTTTAATCTCCAAATATTTTGAGATTTTCCAGCTATATTTGTTATTGATTTCTAGTTTTATTCTATTGTGACCTGTGAGCATACTTTGTATAATTTCTATAGTTTCAAATTTCTTCAGGTGTGTTGGATAGCCCAGGATGTGGTCTATCTTGGTGAACATTCCATGTTGATGGATGAAGCACTCTCTAAATGTCAATTAGATCCAGCTGAACGATGGTGCTATTCAGTTTGACTATATCCTTACTTATTGTCTGCCTGCTGGATCTACCAATTACTGCTAGAAGGATGTTGAAATCTCCAAGTAGAATAATGAATTTGTCTACTTTTCCATGCAGTTCTACTAGTTTTTGCCTCATGTATTTTGATGTTCTTTATGTGCAATCACATTAAGCATTGTTACGCCTTTTTGGAGAATTGGCCATGTACTGATTATGTAATACTCCTCTTTATCCCTGATAAATTTCCTGACTCTGAAATCTGCATTATTTGAAATTAATATAGCTATTCTAGCTTTCTTTGATTAGTTCCAGCAGTGTATATATCTATCTCTTTATATTTAAAGTGAGTTTCTTGTAGACAACATATATTGGGTCTTTTTTTTTTTTTTCCATCTACTCTGCTGTGCTCTGCCTTTTAACTGGTATATTTCAACCATTCACATTTAAAGTGATTATTGATATAATAAAATTAATATCTACCATATTTGTTACTGTTTTCTATTTGTTACTCTCCTTCCTTGTCCTCCCTCCTCTGTTTTTTGGCCTTGTCTTGTTTTACCTAGGCAATCTGTATGATTCCATTTTCATGGAAACATATCAATTATACTTCTTTAAAAATATTTTTAATGGTTGTCCTAGAGTTTGCAATATATGTTTATAATTAATCTAAGTCCCCTTTCAAATAACACTATTTCACTTCACGTTTAGTACAGGTAACCTATAACAGAGTATTCTCAATTCCTCTCTCCTTTCCCTTGTTGGTGACCACATTTCTGTCATACATTTCACCCATCCAAAAGCTAAAATCATCTAAAATATTGTTTCTGTCATTTTAAACAAATGTTACTCTGCTAGCTCAGTTAAGAATGAGAATATGAACGATTTTATTATCTTTATTCTTGTTAGGATGCTTTTCTTTTCTTTATTTAAATTTGAGTTTCTGATCTATGTCATTTTCCTTCTGTCTTAAGAAAGTCTTTTATAATTTCTTCAAGGCAGGTCCAGTGACATCAAATTCTCTCATTTTTATTTTTCTAAAAAAAAATCTTTATTTCTCCTTCACTTGTGAGGGATAATTTCAGTGGGTACAGAATTCTAGGTTGGTGGCTTTTTTCCTTCAACACTAAATATTTCTCTTGATTCTCTTTTTGCTTACATGGTTTCTAAAGAGAAGTCTGATGTAATTTTTATCCTTGTTACTTTATGGGTAAAGTATATTTTTTTATTTCACTTCTTTCAAAATTTTCTTTTTGTCTTTGATTTTTGGCACTTTGAATATATTATATGCCTAGGTGTAGACTTTTTGATATTTATTCTGGCTGGTGTTCTCTGAGCTTTCTGGATCTGTGGTGTGATTTCCAGTTTTAGAAAATTCTCGGTGGTTGTTACTTCAAATATTTCTTCTATTTCTTTTTCTCTTTCTTCTTCTGTTATTCCCATTATGCATATATTACACCTTTTGTAATTGTCCCACAATTCTTGGATATTCTGTTCTTCTTTTTTTGCAGTCTTTTCTCTCGTTACTTTTTAGTTTGGGAAGTTTCTAATGATGTGTCTTCAAGGACACTGATTCTTTCAATCTACTAGTGAGCCCATTAAAGGCGTTCTTCTGTTCTGTGACAATGGTTTTGATTTTTTACATTTACTTCTGAATATTTTTTAGACTTCCAATTTTTTTTTTAGATTACCTATCTGTTCTTACATATTTTCCACTTTTTCCATTAGAGTCTGTCTTAGCCATCTAAGTCATCTAAAAGGAACAGAAGAAATATTAGAAGTAACAACCACTGATAATTTTATAAAACTAGAAATCACAGCACAGATCCAGGAAGCTCAGAGAACACCAGTGCTGCTATAAGAGAAATACCACAAGTGAATGGCTTTAACAGAGAGAAATTTATTCCCTCATAGTTTAGGAGGCTAGAAGTCCAAATTCAGGGTGCCAGCTCTAGGGGAAGGATTTGTCTCTCTGTCAATTCCAGGGGAAGGTCCTCGTCATCAATCTTCCCCTGGTCTAGGAGCTTCTCAGCTCAGGAACCCGGGGTCCAAAGGACATGCTCTGTTCCCTGCATTGCTTTCATGGTGGTCTGAGGTTCCCTTGTCTCTCTGCTCACTTGTCTCTTTTATATCTCAAAAGAGATTGATTTAAGAAACAATCTAATCTTGTAGATAGAGTCCTCCCTCATTAACATCATAAAGGCAGGATTTACCACACATGGGAAAATCCCATCTGATGACAAAATGATGAACAATCACACAGTACTGGGAAACATGGCCTAGCCAAATTGACACACATTTTTGGGAAACACAATTCAATCCATAACATTCTACGCTTTGGCCCCCAAAAATTCATGTCCTTGCCACATGTAAAATACATTCACCCCGTCATATCAAAGCAAAAGTCTTAAATCAACTCTAAGTCTAAAATCCAAAAATCCTTTTACATCTGTGAAATCTAGAATACAAGTTATCCGTTTCCAAAGTACAATGGTGGAACAGGCTCAAGCTAGACGTTTCCATTACAAATGGGAGAAATTGGAGGGAAAGAAAGGATAACAGGCACCAAGCAAGTCAGCAGAACACATTACATTAGCCCTCAAGGCTTGAAAATAATCTCTATTCTTTGAGACCATTTAGGCAATGGCCCTGCCTTACAGACTGTAGGTATTGGCCATACTATCTGGATTCTAAGTGGAGACCCCTTGGCCCTGGGCTTCAGCTCTGCCTCCAGGTCCACTGGAATGGCAATTCTGCTGCCTTGAATTTGGGCTTCCCCATTCTCCTAGTCCATCTAAGTGTTAACTCAACCCTTTGAGACCCCAGAGGTCGTGGCCTTACCTTTGAGACTGAGGCAGCTCTGCTTCCTCTGTTCCTTGTCTCTTTAGCTTCTGCTTCCTGATTCCTTGGCCTCTTGGCCTCTTGGGGCTCGCCATTCTCATCTGCCCTGCTGGAACAAGTGTTCCAAAGCTCTTTAGCTCCACCGCTAAGTGCCTAGAGGCACCCACTCTGCCAGTAAACTTTGACTGGAAGGCACTCAACTCTCTTGCTCCCTGGGTCAGCAAGCCTAGCTTCACTGATAAATGCCTGGAGGCATCCCACTCTGCCCAGAAGCCTCCTGCATAAAGACACTCATCTCTCTTGCTCTGTGGATCTGCTCTAGCCCTGTCTTGTGCTGGTCTCCTGGTTCTGCTGCTGCTGTTTCTCTGCTGCTGCTTCTCACCATCTGTACTGTCTCCAGTGTAACAACTTTCCTCACTTCCTTCTGAGTTCTCACCAGAATTGTCTTTGACTTCTATAATTCCTTTCTTTTGTCCCCTCCTACCACAGAGACCATCCCCCTCCCTCAGGTCCTGACCAAGTATTTGTCCACCACACATGGCTGGTGCAATGTCACTCTGGAGTGCAACGTCTCCGCAAGGGCTACAGAGAACCTGAAGATTACCTGGGAGAGCAAGGGCCTCCCCAAGGACCTGGAGCAGAGAGAGACACCACGACCAGACACCAACCCCTGGACCCTGGCTGTGAGCCTGCCCCTGAGCCAGCCCCAGAGCATACTCAGTGCCAGCATCACCTGTGTTGTCAGCAACCCCAAGGACCAGAAAAATGCCACCTTAGACCTGGGAGAAGTTTGTGTCCGTGGTGAGTAGAACATGTCATAAAGAAGAGGCACGCTGGAATTCCTGTGGCACTGGGGTGCAAGGGGCTCAATGCTTTACTCTCCGACATGTGTACTAGCACCACCTTCCACCTGATTACCCCATACATATGTCTGGGCATCACATCCAAATTGTTTCTGCTTGTAAATGTCTCTCAGCTCAATCCTTGTCCATGATGCTACAGGCAGTACCTTCCCACAGCTTGGTCCTACCTATATTTTTTTCCTCCCCCACACATCATCTATTGTGGATCCAGAGAGGTCCTTTTAAAAGCAAACCTGATTGTGTTGTTTGTCTGTGTCATCTGTGGTGTCTCACCTCCAGTGACTCCCTGTAGGACTCAGGTGTAAACCCTGCTCTGCCCATATTTCCAGTCTCACATACTTTATACCTAACTGCTTGGAGTTCCGTGAATGTGTTGTGTACCACCAGAGCTTCCAGGCCCCATGTCCTTCACTTCCTTCTTCCTCCTCTTGAAAGATGCTCTACTGCCAGGTCTGTTTTCCTGGGCATGAGACCTGTGCAGTAACACAGCGCCCTGTGTACTGAAGGTGCCTGTACTGGGTTTAATGCTGTGTGGTTTATGTCTTCAAATTTTAAATATAATTAATTCTAATTTAATTTTAAAAATTAATATTTTTTAAATGAGGGGCTTCACAGTTTCTCTTCACCCAGGGCCCCATCAGTGCTGTAGCTGGTTCTGCCCTTGGCCATCACCTCCTTTAAGGAGCCAACTATGGCTACCCCACACTTGGGACTAAAGCTCTGCTCTGGGCCTCCTTTAATCACAGCACATCCTGTGCTGAGTAGGAATGATCTGTTTTTTGTGTTTGTCTGCTCTGTAGGCTGGAAGGTTTTGAGAGCAGGGGCTACATATTGTTCTCCTTTGTATCTCAGCTTTTGGCCAAAGTGTGCTTGGAATCAGTGTTTTCATTGAATGAATGAATGAACTGGTATCCAGTGTGCAGCCCCACCCTCTCTTACCCACTTTCCACCTGCTACTGGAGGGATCTGATGGTGTCATACCATCACTTAAAGCCCTCCTACCACATCCTGGAGTCTCAGATAAAGTTGAACACTTGACATGACCCACAACACCCTCTGAGACCAGACTTCTGCCTCTCTCTGATCCTCCATGCCTACTGCTCCTTCGTGTCCTGAGCCCCTCCTGCCTACTGCAACCAGGCTGCTGGCCATGCCCAAGGGGCTGACATTTTGACACAGTCATTTTCTGAATGTGGTGCTCCTCCTTCCTGGAATGCCTCACCCACCCTCAGTGTCTGGGAAACTCCTTATCCTCCCTCAAGAGTCAGCTTACATATCACCTCCTCTGGGAAGCTCTCCCTGAAGACCTGTGTACAAGGTACAAACTTCTATCACAGCTGCGATCCCTCTGTTGGGCAGAGTGATGGCTCCTTGAGGGAGCAGATCACACCTTATTCCTGTCAGCATCCCTGGCAACAAGCAGGAGCTCAATAACTGGATGAATGAATGTACCTGTTATGCTTTCCCTCCTTCAGCTTCTGAACCAGGCCCCACGGGAGTCCCCACCTGCTTTCTTTCTGAGTCCTCTTGGCAATGGGTTTCTCAAATTCTCTCTTGCCTTACCTTTCTTCACTCTCTTAGTGGGGGAAAAAGAAAATGACAAGAATATCTCCCTGGGAATCATCCTTGGGGCCTTTGTGGCTGTGCTGGTGACCCTGGGAGCTGGACTGTTCCTCTGGAAGACACGTAGGAAGAAGAAGAAGATGGAGCCTGAAAGAGGCAGGTTGCACTTCTCCTTCCAGGATCAGACACTCTCCCCCACTAGACTCTCCTGCATCTTGCTGCATGGGGAGGGAGCTCTGCAGAGGGGATGAGGGGTGTGACCATGGCCTTGGAGTTCATGACAGTGGAGGAGGGACACAGGTTTCCATGACACACAGTCAAGTTCTTCTCCGTGTGTGGCTCAGGTCCAGGTTTGCAAGAGGACTGCAGGGACAATGATGGTGACCTCTACTATGCGATGGTGAGCCAGCAGGAGTCTCTGAGGGGCAAGAAGAAGGTGAGAGCTGGGAGAGGTGGCCTGCCTGGACACTCCCAAGCCCCTCACTTACCAGCCCTGGGCTTTCCAAACCTGGGAATCTGTTGTTTCTGGCCCCACTGCCTCTTTTCCTGTTCTAGGACAATGACAAGTATTTACTAAGACACTTTGCAATTTGAGCCAGCATAGTGCTTGATGCTCTGGGAGAATCATAAGCAGAGGGTGTCAGCAGGCATTGGTTCTATGTGGGTCCCTTGGTTTCCACCCTAACAGCAGGTGTTCTAGGAACCCTCTGTTTTGCATTCCCAGGGTATCCGTGGGCAACATATGGAAGAAAAGGAGACTTTCCCTACTGTCTACAGTGAGGTCCATAAGCCAGGCCAGGCCATAAATATTTAACTAGAGGAGGCAGGAGAATCTGGAACTCCTGGGACACCGCCACCCTGAGTCTGTCGCCATGAAGATACTGGCACTTCCAGCTGTGATCCAGCTCCTGAGGCCCATGGTCTGTGCTACCCTGACCTTCCTGACCACAGCTCCCTACGCACATGTGACCCTGTGCCTTCCTCTGTTCACCTCTCCCCTCCAGCCTTCCCCAGGCTGCCTGAACACTCAGGATGGTCAACCTTGTGGAGTGAGCTCCTTTTGCCATTGACCTGGATCCTGAAATATTCTCCTCTCTTCCCAAAGAGGACCGTTGCCTAGCGTGCACATGACAAATTTCCACAGCCTCTTCTGCATCACTGGGATGTGTCTTTCTGAGAACACAAGGCCAGGTATGAGGACTGTGTACAGGTGTTGACTGTGGCACGAGGAGGGAGTCAGGATCTCGGATCAGGATGTGGAGTTGGGGGTTGATGAAAACAGCATGGGTGGGTGGGAGCCCACAAAGGGACTGGCCCAAGGCTTCTTTTGGCAACCTTCTGTAAGGCTCCCTGGGTGTAGTGGGCAGTGTGTGTGTGTGTGTGTGTGTATGTGTGTGTGTGTGTGTGTGTGTGTGTGTTTAGAGGGCTGTGTAGTGTATATTATACAGCTGGGCCAGACCCCTCATCTATGCTACCTATACTAACCTGGACCTAAGCCTTAGCCTCACCCACGGGCCCCAAACCTTCCTTTCTGTAGAGTAGGAAGAGGAACTTGTAATATCCAGGCCCTCCCCTGCCTTCTGTTTCCCAGGGAATGACTCCAGGAGGCCAGAGTTGGGGGTTTTTATCTTAGATAAATAACCCTAGCTCATCCTCTGGCCCAGGATAGGGCACTTAGTGGAAAGAATAGCTGTGCAGCGTCCTCCCAACCCACTTACCAGCCCTCTCTGCCATGGTGGGGCTGCTATGGGCTCTGACACCTCAAGGCTGTAGGAAGTTGAGGTCCAGCCCTCTCCAGCCTGCTCTTGTATTGCACTCCCAGCCCCCTATTGCCATGCTGGACATTGGTCATCTGCCCAAACACTTGGTAAGCCTATTCTTTGCCTGGAATGAGGTTCCCTCTCCCTGTTCTTCACCCCCACTCCTGCCTATTGTAATCTAGCTCATCCTAGCCAAATACCCTACCCAAGCTGTATTTTCCATGGGCCTGTCTGGATTCCAAAGTTTATAAAAGACCTCTCATACTTCTGACCTTCCAGACACCTTGGACATCACTTAAGGGCCCTGCCATAGTCTGCTCTGGATTGGCATCATGCATCTACCCTGCTGGACCTAATTTGGGGGTCCCTCAGGAGGATGGTGTTGTGATGGGGGGCCAGTGCCAAGGAGAGCATACACTCTGTGAAGGGTCTGAGCCACTCTTCCTCCCACTCCCGCAGAGGATCAGCAGAGTGACATAGAGTACAGAGGCTGCAGGTGGTCTGCATGGTGGTTCTGCTTGGATGCAGTGGAGGACACAATGTCTACCAATGACTCTGTGTGGCTCAGAAGTCAGAGGTGGGGACTTCCCTATCCCACCTCCAGCCTCATATTGACTGAGGACCTGGTGCAGCCTGTGGTGTGTGGGTTCTTCTCTGCTTGTGGGTCCTCGCCTCCTCACAGCCTCCTCCTCTTTTCTCAGACCCCAGCTCCTGCATTAGAGATAGGCTGACTTTACTACTATGAGGTGCTGTGACCTGTACGGCAGCCTAGGTTCCTCTTGGTTCCCCTCCCACCTCAGCTCAGCTCAGCTGCCCCATCTCTGACCTCAGATAGCAAAGTTCTGAACAGGGTCTCTGTAAGGGCTTGAGCATTGTGAAGCAATGCTAGGAGGCTGCTGCATGGTGGGATGAGCGAAGGAGGAGGATTCATTACAGGGTGCTGTCTCTGACCTCTTCCCCTCAGGGTGAGCACAAAGATGAGGGAGAGGGAGATGCTATCTCCTCACCCAGCTTCCCTGGTGACCAGTCATGGCTGCGCATGAGTACTCATCAGCACAGGAGCAGTGTAAGATATGACCACCCAGTGACCTGTCCACCCCACATAAGGCAGGAAAAAACAGAGGAAGCAAATCATGTTTTCCTGAGCCTATAAGGGCCAGATTTTGTCCCAGGCACTTTACAAATATTTCTTTGAATTCTTAAAATGGCCTTTGATGGTAGGGATTATTATCCTCATTTTTATGTGAGGCTACTGAAATTGCTGGCTAACTGGTGGCAGAGCAAATCTTAAATCCAACACTGGATGATTCTTACCCCTTCACCACATGGCCACCGAAGACCTTGGAATCTTGGGAATATTCAGATAAGAATATCCTCTGCCTGTTCCTGTCCCTTCCCCCAATTAAAGTGCTGCGTTCTCTCCGAAGTACTCTAGCCTTCTGACTCAGGTGCTCCAGCTCTGGCTGAGCTTGGATTGTTGATGGAGCTGGTGGCTGAAAGAGGAATTTCTCCTTAAGTAGAGAATGGGGTTTTGGTGGGTTGGGGCTTGTGGATTGAAGGACTCTGTAGTCTGGGGCAGACTAGACGTCTGAGGAGAGATGCCTCCCTGTCTTGTGTCTTTTACCAAGTTTCTACCTTTTCCATGTAAATGATGTCCTGCATATTGGCACCCTCATCCTCAGAACAGCACCATCTTTGCATTATTATTCATAACAGCATTCAATAAGCCTGACATAAGTCTCTTATTTAGACCTTCAATGATTCTGTAAGGCAGAAATATCCATTTTATAGGTGGAGTAGCTAAAACCAAAGAAGTTATATACCTCATGCAAGTTCTGAGTAGAAAGTGGCAGAGGCCTGATTTGGGCCCAGGTCTGTCTGCTCTCTCTTTAAAGCATACTAGGGTCAGAGAGGACCATAGTTTCACTTCTTTTCACTCCTTCTGGCTCATCCCAGACCCTAATCAGCCATCGTGTCCCATTGGGTTATCCTTCACTAACCTTCTTGTATCCCATCCTCACTCTTTCGTTCATATTCCCCACCTCAGAGCACCCGTCGGGCCCTCATATTATCATTCATGTCTGGACTATTTCAGCACCTTTTCTACTGCCTTCTGTATCTTTACTCATTTGTTTTCTCCAAGCCATTATGGTGAAATTTCTGAATTTCAAAGGCACTGAGCAAATCTAAAGAGTCACATTTTCTAAGTCCAGGCTTAGGCACCTGATTTCAGTCAGGCCAATCAGTGAAACCCATTGCCGTTGAGTCGATTCTGACTCATAGCGACCCTATAGGACAGAGTAGAACTGCCCCATATGGTTTCCAAGAAGCGCCTGGTGGATTCGAATACCGACCTTTTGGTTAGCAACTGTAGCTCTTAACCACTATGCCACCAACGTTTCCAGGCCAATCAGAGTCATTATTAATTTGGAAACAGAGAAATGGAAGACCATCTCTTTAGATGCCTGGATATTAAAATGCAAAATGGAGGCATTGTTGTTGGCCACGTTTCCCATCACATGGACCTGAAGTGCAGAACAGCTGATTTGCAGAGGGAAATAATGAGGAGGACTCTCTTAGATGTGAAAGGAAGAAAACATTCGAAAGGCACTTGAATTCCTGGATTCAGAGGTGTCTGAAGTCTAGCCACTTTCCCTTACTGATAATGCAACATGGGGGGACAAAGAGTACAATGCTGACGGGTCTCACTTAAATCCATGACCTCTTTGGGGCCCTTGGTGCTGAGTTGCAATCTCGATAAGTATTTTTAGCCCATTCACTCTCCCAATCTCCTAGATATCTGTTAGGGATTAAATATTGTATCCCCCGAAATATGTGTTGGAGTACTAACCCCTTTACCTGTGATCTGATTCCATTTGGGAAAGGGTTTTCTTGGTTACGTTAATGAGGTCATGCCAGTATAGGGTATGTCTGAAACCTAATTACTTCTGAGTGATATAAAGAGCAGCATAGAAACAGAAACAAGCGTGCAGAAGCAAGGAAGATAGACGGCACATGAAGATCACCAAGAAACTGAGGAATAGAAGCAGAAAGAGACAAACATCTTCCCCAAGACCTGACAGACTGAGCAAGCCATTACCTATTGCTGATACCCTGAATTCAGCCTTCTAACCTCCTAAACTGTGAGAGAATAAATTTCTTTTCTTTAAAGCCTCCCACTTGTGGTATTTCTTTTGTAATAGCACTAGGAAACTATGACAATGATCATGTCTTGTCTCTTCTTGAACCCCAATTCTTCTTCCCTATCCTCATTGTCAACAGATTACTTTGCCTTTTATTGCACTGACAATATTGAAGTAATCAGAAGAACTTCCAGAGGCTCCATCACCAGACCTACCCACCTCCCTGCATCTGAACTCTTATCTTCTGCCTTTGCCCTTGTGACTTTGAACAATCGCAGCTCCTGCAAGTCTGGTGTTCCTCTTGGGCACCAGATTCCCTCTCTGGCCTATGCAGTGACATCACTCCACAAGTTCTTCCCTGCATTAGCTTTGAAAAATCTATACTGGATTATTCTTATCAGTATGCGAGCATGCTGTAACCTCTCTCATTAAAAGAACCCTATGAACTCAACTCGCTTTTAGTACAGTCTCATTTTTCTGTTCCAATTTATAGCAAAATTATCTGAAAGCATTTTCTATATTTCCTCTATCCAACTCCCTCCCATTTTCTCTGGAATTCTCTCTAATGCTGCATTTCCCCCAGCTCTCCAATGACACTGCTCTTGTCAAGGTCTCCCAAGAACCCCAGATTGCTAAATCCGATAGTCAACTCTCAGTCCTCATCTCCTTAACTTCTCTGCAGTAATGGACACATCCGTCACTCCTTCCATAAAACACTGTCTTCACCTCACATCCAGCACTCGCCGTTCTTTTCCTTCTACTCACTGGGTGCCCCTGTGTTTCCTTTACTGGTTTCTTTCTCACTTCTCTCACCTCTATGTCCCAGGGTTCAGTTTTCAGATTTCCTCTCTTCAGTGTCTCTGATGTTGTAGTAGGCAGAACAATGGTCCCCAAAGATGTCCACATCCTGATTCTTGAATTCTGCGAATATGTTGCCTTACATGGCAGAAGGGACTTTGTAGACATGATTAAGGTTAAGGACCTTTGATGAGGAGATTATCCTGGATTATACAGGTGGGCCCAGTCTAATCACAAGGGTCCTTAAAAGTAGAGGAAGAAAAGACAAAAGAGTGGGTCAGAGAACTTGATGTGAGAAGGACTCCACCTGCTGTTGCTGGCTTTGAAGATGGAGGAAGTGGGTCATGAACCAGGGAATGAGGCAGCCACTAGAAGGTGGAACAGCCTTCAGTCTACAGGCAGCAAGAAAACCAAGACCTCAGTTGTGCAACTGCATGGAACTGGATTCTGCCAACTACCAGAATGATCAGGAGATGTATTCACCCCTAGAGCTTCCAGAAAGGAACACAACCTGCTGAAACCTTGATTTTAGACCACACTGGCCTTTTTTCTATTTCTTGAACATAGCAGTCATGCTCCTGCCTCAGGGCCTTTGCTTTTGCCTGGAATTCTTTTCCTTTAGGTATCTTCGTGTCTCATATCCACTCTTTTTTCATGTCTTTGCACCAGCGTTATCTTCTTAGTGAGATCTACCCCAGCTCCCTATTTAAAACTACAACCTCCTCCTGGCACCCTTATCACTCCTCCTGGCTCTATTTTTCTCCACAGCACTTACCACAGGGATTTGAAGGTGCGTTTTTGTGGGCTGTTGAATACTATGGGCAAATGAGACCTCAGAATAAGCTGCAAATCGTAATATGTAGATATCATTATTATTCCTAGGAAACTGCATAGCTGATAAGTTAATGAACTTGCCCAAGGTCAAAAAGGTAATAAGTGGCCGAACTGGGATTCAGACCTTGGAGTTAAATTCTTGACCAGTGCATTATACAGTTAAATAAATTATGGTCTATCCACATAATGGAATAATATTTATATAATAATGCAGGTGCATGTTTATGTACTGAATTGGGAAGATGTTCATGCAATATTAAGTGTGTTACATAAATGTATAGTATTACCCTGGTTTTATAAAAATATATACCCATATGTTGATGTGGTCGTGAAGAAAGTCTAAAAGTTGTTATGCCAAATAATTAAGAGTAGTCATCTTCAGGGTTCTGTCACTTTCTCTGTATCATCAGATTTTCTAAAACATTAAAAAAAATTATCTATTAAAATTTTTGAGCAGAGAAGTGACATGACAGGAATGTGCTTCAGAAAGATTAAACCACATTTATTCTGACAAGAAGTTTATCATCTTGGAAACCAGTTGAAGTATTTATTCTCATGTTCCCCCTTTCAGTTTCTATTGTGTTCAAATGACTCCTTCAGGATTTTTATTGAAACCACCCATAAACATCTCTGAATCTCTCTAGACAGTGCAGGCAATATGAAAATTTTGGTCTAATTGATCCAAATGGAGAGTCCCTGTGAATTGCTGATAATCGTGGCTGTTGATCAAGCCTATGAAAATCCTGTCTGTAGATCTTTGAAAAGCACCAGTGCCTGGATCCTATCCTCAAACTGGGCATCATCTATATTTTTAAAAACTCAGTAGACATTTCTGGTGCGTGAGTAGGGTTTAGAACTGAAGCTTTTGGTCTGTATGGACTCTTTATAAAATTCAAACGGGAATGTACATGGCAAGGAGAGGCTGAGAGTTTATCTTCCAAGATAATTCTCAATATTCCTCAGCACTTAGTCCAGAAAGTGTTGAGTGAAGAAATGAATGAATGACAAGGCCCACAGACTGGCATTACTTTGAGGAATTCACCATGGTTTAGACTGTTCCTCAGACTCTGAGGCCAAGCTCAGAAGCTCCATCTCATCTCTTGCCCAGAACTGACTTGACTTTTGGATCTAAAATCTTGCCAAATAGCCTCATAAGATGATGATGTAAAAAAAACCAGAGTGTATATTTATTAATTTACACTAAGAATTATGCTTGTCCACTGGAGTAGATAGTTCCATAGGCCTGATCAATGAATCCTCTTCCCAAAGTTAAATCACTCAGGAAGCCAAGGTATCAGTGGGCTACTTGGTGAGCAGGAGTCAGGACAGATGGGCAGCTGTTGCTGCTGCGGATTCCACTGGTCTTGGAGAGTCTGAGCTCTCTATCTCCGTGGTAGGATTTACCTGCCTGGGGTATGGATCTCCTGCCAGCCTGACAGCACATTGTTTGTCTCTATCTCTCACCTGTCTTTATGCTCTGATTCTTATCAACTCCTTTTGATTGACATAGTCTTTCTTTAGTCATGTTCATGCTTGAGATTAAGTTTTGTCCTGGTCCACAAGTTGGAATCTCTATGAAATTATCTTGTATACCACTGCTGTCAATAAAAAAATTCCCCCAACACCAAACAAACTCACTCTTATTTCCCTTATTTCCAAGTCTTTAGCAGAGGTAGTGGAGGGACAGAGCACTCCTTAATACCTCACATACCACCAGCTGAACCATCAAACTGTCTTTGTCAATGCATCCAACAGAAAAACTATGAACTGGCTAATGGGATCCTGCAGGTATTTAGTTGGATCTTCACTTAATTTATCACTTAGACATTCAGCAAGAGCCTCTCATATTTAAATGAGCCAGAAAAAAGCAAATAAATATAAACACAAGGAAAAAACCCACCTTCTAAGAGGATGTAATATATAATTAAAATCTATTCAAGTTAAAAATCTTATAAAAAGGACAATTTCTGGAAAATGCAATTTACTGACATTGATTTACATGGGTTTATACAACCTCAAGGAATCGACACAGAAAATATTGAAAAACTTATACAAGTGTTTTCCCTTCCAGGGCATTCATTTATGAGTTAGAACACTTGACAAAGCACAAAAAAGAAAACAAAGTCCCAATCCAGTCGTCAAATCTGCTTGAGCATCTCTCACTTCCTTTCTTCTGCAGCAAACTTGATCTTGGCGAGCTGGATGCCCAGCTTCCCAAAGAGCACAAGGAAGACAAGGCCTTTTGCTAACATTGTTGACTGTAACGTGAGCAGGAATTGAGTTCTTGTCCCTGTCGGGTCGGAAGCAGCGCCGGGAGTGAGAGGCTTCTGGGTGACTGGATCCTGGGACTGACCATGTTCCCTAAGTAAGCTGATTCAATGTCAGGGACTCCAGTTCACTTAATGGGTCTGAGTAAATTGGGACTTTGGGCTTAGAATAATCCCACGTGCTATTGCCAGTGGGAGTTTCTTAGAATCTAAGAGTGTCCATGTTGGGAGGAAACTCAAAGATCATGGAGTTCTACCTCTTTTTTGTGCTGTATAACAATCCCAATAAATGACTGTGCATCTGTGCTTACACACCTCCAGTGACAAGGAACTCACTATGCCCCAAAGCCATCTATTCCATCTTTGGACAACTCTGACTATGAAATGTTCTCTAACATTGTAAGTGACTAGCTTCTCCCCCTGAATATTAGTTCCTATGAGGTCAGTCATTGCAGATGGGATTCCTCATCCACTCAATGGCCCTTCAAGTGGGATTCAGAACAGAGGCACACATCAGTGCCTGGTATAGCTTTTCTCTTCCCAAAAGTCCCGATTTTCCCCACCCTCCCTTTTCTCGGGCACATGCCAACTTTTACTGTCTCTGGGTTTTCTTACTTGGCATTGTCCCAAGGGCTGGAAAGGTTGGGATATCACATTACTGACGATGGTAAGAAAGAACAATGCCCATCCCCAAACTCCTGGGAAAGTGGTCTTCCTAGAGCATTAACTTTCTGGACATTTTCTTCAGTACAATGGAATTCTCCTAAGTGTAAGGTGGCATTTTTCTGGTCTATAGGGTTGCTGACCACACAAGTGAAGCTGATATTGGGCCTGCTCAGGTGCTGGCTCACAGGCAGACTCAGAGTCCGTGTCCAGGAGTTGGTGTCTGGTCCTAGTGTTCCTCTCTGATCCAGGATACTGGGGAGGCCCTTGCTCTCCCAAGTCATGTTCAGGTTCTCTGAGGCCCCTGTGGCCCTACTCTCCAGGGTGACACTGTACCAGCCTGGTGTAATGGAGGATGACTTGGCCAGGATCTGGGGGGGAGGTGGGTGGGCAGGCTCTGGTGTAGGAGGGGATAGAATAATTATTATTGTATTTGTACAGCACGTTACTCATCCATTATCTCATTAATTTCAGAGCATTGTGCTCAGAAGTTGAGGCATTTCACAGCTGAAGAAACTAAGGGTTGGCAAGGTGAAACAGTTTTGCCAAAGTATTATGATGAGAAAGTGGTACAGAATCCCAGGTTTAGAGAAGGTTAGGTAGCCAAAGTCACTCAGTTCTGTCTACCACTTGCACCCCTGCTGGCACCACACACAGCTGAATTCACACTAGCTGCATACAAAGCCTGGGATCCTCACAGTCCCCATAGCTCTGGGAGGGGATCATCAACCTTTGGGAAAATATCTTCCAGGTACAGAATTTGCAAAGGAGTTTCTGAAAATGAGTTTTGAGACTCTTAACTCTTCATCAATACTGAAGACATAAAAAGGTTCACATTTGGAGATGAGGGGGTAGAGAATGTCTTTGGATGGGTTCCTGTCCCTCAACTCAAGCCTGGTGAGAGCAGATTCACTGGGACCATTTAGAGAGTTTGATGTGTGTTCCTACAGCTGGGGCTGGGGGTGGGCATGTGGAGGACCAGGGCCTGGCTCACACTGAGAAATGTAAAGGGCGAGGTGTTGCTGAAACAGCCTAAGATGGTAGCGGAAAAGGAACTGCTACTGGTTGAAAAGAACTTGCATTGCCAATGAAGAGGCAAATGTACATGCTTTCCACGAACTAGACATAAGACTTTCTTAAAAGGACTTTGTCAAGAGAGCCATCTGGAAGGGCAATAGAACCCCAATAGAAATAGCCTGCATGGAAGTGGACCAGCCAAGAACCAGGGGCCAAAGAGAAAGATGTAAGTGACCATCCTAAGTGGGCATTACCTGTGACAGGGCAGGTGAGAGATCCCCAGCATGGGAGAGGGGGATCTCCAAAGAACCTCTGGAAATCTCCATGAAAGAAAGAGTCAGATTAAACACTATCAGGCCCAGAGACCCCAACTGCTTGATTAGCACAACAGTACTAGTCAAAGAAGGCCTTACCTGTACCCCCCATTCTCCCATCCTCTTTGTGCTCCTCTCTCCCTCCCTGTCCTCATAGAGTTGGCAGAGAGGCTTCCTGTCTGTATGCTGTTCTCTATAATCCTTATAGGCTTTTGCCAGGGAATTTTGTCCTGGTCTTTGAGTATCACTTTCTGCATCTGCCGTATCTGCCACTGATGTAACAGGTTTTGCTTGTCTCAGGGAAGTGTGGGCAGCTGCTGGTGGTGTCCACGGCCCCTGAAACAGCCTCCATGGTGAGGTCCATGCACTCTGAGCCTTCCTCTTTCTGACCTGAGGTGGCTTCTGGTCCATGGTCCTCTTAACACTTGTTTCCTCTACAGGGGCCCATAACAACATCTCCATCTCCCCAATATCATGCACAGACTCACGGGACTTGTAACACTTCTGGAGGCCCCTTTTCTACCTAAACACACCATACCCCAATTTCTACTCAGCAGGGCTCCTTTAGGGGGGACGCTCTTCTCCCAGGTAAATTGTAAGCAGGACCTAAGCCCCTCTGCTTTTGTATTTCCTTTCAGCTGATCTGGAATGTCTATCACCTGGCTTGCTCTCCAACCTTGCTCCACAGCCCCTTCTGTTGTGACCATTGGGAATGGCCATTTCAAGCCCCTTCCAATTTTTAATCAGCCTCATCCTTAATGCATATCTTTAATGTTTACTTAATTTCCCACCCCATTTTCCATTTCTGTATATCTTGAGTCATAACTGATATCTTTGTAGTTTGTGATTTGTTGAGAGAACTCTATTCTCTGAGTCTACAATCTCTGGTTTTGGCACACACAAATCTCTCTCTTTTTTTCTATCAAGAAAATATGCTCTTGTCTATTTTGAAAGTCAAAAACTGAACACTGATTTCTGCATTCACAGCTGGGTTCTAGCCTCTGCCTGTGCAATGGCTGTCTCAGCTCCAAGTCTTGGAGGTTTTGGGAAAAAAAGATTTCACAGTAATGAAAAAAAAGAAAAAAACCTATGGAAACCTCCGGAAAAGAAGGCACTTGAGCTGACTTAGGAAGCCCCTCCTCATACTCTAACACACTCTGATGATGCTTGAAAAAAATATAACGAAAAAAGTTTTAAATTTGGAACTGAGATTCAGTAGACCTTTAGTCAAAAAACAAGAAGGAACACAGTGCTAAAGGGGTCGTTTACATCCCTAAATGGGGATGAAGTCTTAGCTGTGGTCTTGTGTTTGTAGGGATGCTGCACAAAGCCAGGTAAGGGGCTGGGGTGAATATAGGATGAGAACATTTCTATCTTCTGACCTGGGAAATCAGCTTGCGAGGCTGCCACCTGCCCTGTACCATGGGTAGAGTCTGTGAGAAGTCGGAATCCTAGGCTACACTGTGCATGGGCACGAGTGGGAATTCTTACTACATGCGGGAACTCCCAGCCCAGAAATTAATCTAAAAGTAGATGAAGCCTACAGGGCCCTGTTGTTGTTAGCTGCCATTAAGTCGGCCCTGACTTGTGGTGACCCCATGCACGACGGGCTGCGATCGTTGTGATCCATAGGGTTTTCATTGAATGATATTCAGAAGGGTATCACTAGGCCTTTCTTCCTAGTCTGTTTTAGTCTGGAAGCTCTGCTGAAACCTGTTCTGCATCATAGCAACACACAGACATGTGGTGGATGTGCATGAGGTTCATTGGCTGGGAATCTAAGCCATGTCCCCCACACAGAAAGTGAGAATTCTACTACTGAACCATCAATGCCTCCACAGAGGCAAACACTAAACTGACCCACTGGGACACTTCCACAGCTCAGGGAACATGTATGGGCTCTTGAAAGAAGCCAGAGGAAAAACAATATTGATCTACAAAGAAACAAGGAGAAGAATTACTTCAGACTTCTTTTCAGAAACCATGCAAGGAAAGAGAGTGGAGTGAAATATTTAAAATTTTGAAAGAAAAAATTAACCAACCTAGAATTCCATACCCAGAAAAATTATTCCTCAAAAAATATACTTGTAAGGATAGTGTTGATGCGTTGTGAGGTTGTTAACCATTGTCATAGGGCAAGATGTGTACTGTTATATGAGAAACTATTTTGTCTGCAAACCTTCGTCTAAAGTGAGAATAGCAGCACAATTGGAAGAGCGTAGTCAATGTCACTGAACTGTGCATGTAGTTTTTGAAATGGTGTATCTTTGGCTATGTATATTTTCACCAAAAAAAAATGTCAAGAAGGGAGAGGGTTGACATGTTGTGGGGCTGTTAACCAATGCTATAAAACAATATGTATACTACTGTTTATGAGAAACTGTTTTGTAATTCTACACCTGAAGTACAATAAAAAAAAAATATACTTGTTAAGTTGGACTTCAGTAAACTTATAAGTGTTTGCTCTGTAGAAGACTCTGTTAATAGAATGGAAAAAAAAAGTTACAGGGTGGGAGAAAATATTTGCAAAACACTTATCTGATAAAGGATTTGTATCCAAGATATACAAAGAACTAGTAAAACCCAACAAGAAAAATCAAACAACCCAATTACAAAATGGGCCAAAGATCTGAACAGAAACCTCACCAGATGATTAATCAGCCTATGTAAAAATGCTCAACCTCATATGTTGTTGTTGTTATTAGTTGCTATCAATTTGATTCTGACACATGGTGACCCCCATGTGTTCAGGGTAGAACTGCTCCATCGGTGACCTTTTGGAAGCAGATTGCCAAGCCTATCTTCGGAGGCACCTCTTGGTGGGTTCAAACCAGCAAACTTTTGGCTGACAGTAGGACACGTAACTGTTTGCATTATGGGACTACTTTATATGTCATTAGGGAATTGGAAATCAAAATAATAATAAGCTACTACTATACACATATCAGAATGGCCAAAATCCAAAACAGTGACACCATGAAATGTTGACAAGGATGGGGAGAAACAGGAACTGTCAATAATTGCTGGTGGGAATGAAAGATGGTATAGCCACTTTGGAAGACAGGCAGTTTCTTACAAGATAAACACAGGGTTACCATCAATCCCGAAATTATGCTCCTAGGTATTTCCCCAAATGAAATGAAAATATATGTCCACATAAAAGCTTGCACGGGAATGTTTATAGAAGCTTTATTCATAGTTGCCAATATTGGAAGCAATCAAGATGTCCTTCACTAGATGAATGGATAAAGAAACTGTGGTACATGCATACAATGGAGTATTACTCAGCAATAGAAAGAAATTAGCCATCAAGCCTTGAAAAGAATGGAGGAACTTTAAATGCATACTGCTAAATGAAATAAGCCAGTCCATTAAATGCTACATACTGTATAATTCCAACAATATGACATTCTGGAAAAGGCAAAACTACAGAGACAGTAAAAAGATTAGTGGTTTCCAGGGGGTTGGGAGGAGGAAGGAGGGATGAGTAGGTGGAGCACAGGGCATATTTAGGGCAGTGAAACTATTCTGTATGATTCTGTAATGGTGGACTCCTGTCATTTAGCATTTGTCAGAACCCATAGGACTGCGCAACATAAGGTGTCAGTTCTTCTTTGGTCTTCCTTATTCGCAGTCCAGATTTCACAGGCATATGAGGCGATTAAAAGCACTGTGGCTAGGGTCAGGTGCACCTTAGTCCTTAAAGTGGTTATGGACTTTAGTGATGCATGAATATTGGTTTATCAACTGTAATAAGTATGCCAAGGATGCAAAGTCTTAATAGAAGAAGCAAAGTGTAGGCGGCAGTATGTGGGAACTCTCTGTACTTTCTGCACAATTTTCCTGTAAATGTAAATTGATCTAAAATAAATAGAATATATTGGTTTATTATTAAAGCTTCTATTAAATAAAAACAAAACAAACAAAGCAAACAAAAAAGCGACAATAAGGAAACAAAATTTCCATTAGAACCTGCAGAAAGGAATACATCTCTGCTGACCCCTTGGTTTTAGCCAAGTGAGACCAGTGTGGGACTTAGGACAAATAGAACTGTAAGATAACAAATGTGTTGTTTTAAGCCACTGGGTTTGGTAATTTGTAAAATAGCAATAAAAAACTCATAGAGAAATTAATTAGCCTTAGTCTATAGAGAATAATTAATGTTATTGTAAGGATTTCTCTTCTTGTCAAATTTCCTCATTCCTCTTTCCCAAAACACTGAAATGATATTCTCCCAGGTATGAATCTTAGCTCTGCTCTCCATCAAGTTGTGAACTCACTTACCCTATGTTGAGGGGAGAAAATAGAGTGCAAAGACTGGTATCTGGATGCAGTCCTGCAAAAGGGAGCTTTTGTGACACTTCCAGGAGCAAAAGAAGGAAGTAATCCATGAGACTGAGGTGAAGGGGTTGTCACTTACTGAAAACAATGAGATGGAACATCTGAATAAATGCTTTTCCTTCACTTAAGTCACCTAGAGCCCGGTACTGCCCACTGTCCTTAAGGGTCAGATTCTCAATCCTCAGGGTTGTCATATTGGGCACATGGACACTCTGCTTGTCGTTGTCCTGGAGACTGACCCACATTGGAGAATCTGTCCCTTTTTAGACATGCAGCATGACTCTGTAGTCTGACTCAGGGCCAAATCGCCATGAAATCTTCTTCAGCTCTGCTCCTAGATCTACTCCTGGCTTCATGATCACGTGAAACAAGATAGAATCTCCTTCAAAGGAACAAAAGCTCAGAATCCTTAGATCCAGAATCGTGTGCTACAGAACTCTTGGCCCCAATGCTCCAGACACCTTGTATATGGAAATAGAAATCATGAATGTTTTTTCCTCAAGAACAAATGAGAGAATCACAGAACACATTTTTTTTTTTTAATAAAATCCATCCTATATATGTCCTTGATTCTAGGAAGGCAACCTGATACAGTGAAATTAAAATTAACCTTTGTTGAAATTTCAAATTTGGTTACTTTAGATTAATTAACTGAATTAATTAAGCCATACTTCCCTTCTGTAAAATGATGGTATCAACGCCTTCGTCATAGGGTTGTTTTAAGGATTCAATGAAGTAAAGTATCTCAAGTGCCTAGCATAGTGTCTGGATGTGCTGGGCAGCTGTTTCTTTCTTCTTTGGGAGCAGCACCCAAAACAACCCCAGACATGGGACACCATCAATTGTTCTCTGCTGTGGGTTTTTTTTTTTTTAAATATTTTATTGTGTTCTTGGTGAAATTTTATACTGCAAATTAGGTTCTCATTTAACAATTTCTATACATATCATTCCAATTAAATTGAAAGCTGTCAAAAATGAAGTGGAATGCATAAACATCAATAACCTAGGCATTAGTGAGCTGAAATGGACAGGTATTGGCCATTTTGAATTGGACAATCGTATGATCTACTACACCGGGAGTGACAACTTAAGAGGAATGGCATTGCCTTCATCGTCAAAAAGAACATTTCAAGATCTGTCCTGAAATATAACGCTGTCAGTGATAGGATATTATCTATATGCCTACAAGGAAGACCAGTTAATACAACTATTGTTCAAATTTACACACCAACCACTAATGCCAAAGATGAGGAAATTGAAGATTTTTAACAACCTCTGCAGTCTGAAATTGATCAAACATGCAGTCAGGATGCATAGATAATTACTGGTGATTGGAATGCAAACGCTGGAAATAAGAAGAAGGAACAGTAGTTGGAAAATATGAGATTGGTGATAGAAATGATACCGGAGGCCGAATGATAGAATTTTGCAAGACCAAAGACTTAGTCGTTGCAAATACCTTTTTTTCCACAACATTAACTGTGACTATACACCTGGACCTTGCCAGATGGAACACACAGGAATCAAATCAACTACATCTGTGGAAAGATACAATGGAAAAGCTCATTATTGTCTTTCAGAACAAAGCTCATATGCAAGTTCAAGTTGAAGCTGAAGAAAATTAGAACAAGTCCACGAGAGCCAAAGCATGGCCTTGAGTATAATCCACCTGAATTTAAAGACCATCTCAAGAATAGGTTTGACTCATTAAACACTAATGACTGAAGACCAGATGAGTTGTGGAATGGCATCAAGGACATCATACATGAAGAAAGCAAGAGGTCATTAAAAAGACAGGAGAGAAAGAAAAGACCAAAATGAATGTCAAAAGAAATTTTAAATCTTGCTCTAGCTAAAGTGAAAGGAAAAAATGATGAAGTCAAAGAGCTGAATGGAAGATTTCAAAGGGTGGATCGAGAAGACAAAGTAAAGTATTATAATGAAATGTGCGAAGAGCTGGAGTTAGAAAACCAAAAGTGAACAACAGGCTTGGCATCCCTCATGCTGAAAGAAGTGAAAAGAAAATTCAAGCCTCAAGTTGCAATACTGAAGGATTCTACCGGGAAAATATTGAATGACACAGGAAACATCAAAATGAGATGGAAGGAATACACAGTCAGTGTACCAAAAAGAATTGGTTGACATTTAACCATTTCAAGAGGCAGCACATGATCAAGAACTGATGGTACTGAAGGAAGAAGTCCAAGCCTCACTGAAGATGTTGGTGAAAAACAAGGCCCCAGGAATTGAAGAAATATCAATTGAGATGTTTCAGCAAACAGATGCAGTGCTGAAAGTGCTCACCC